GAGCGGTTCTTCAAGTATACTGCAGTACAAACAGCCTCCGCCCAGAAAGCATCAGGGAGGTCAGCCTCAAAGAGCAAACACCGCATCTTGTTCTTGATCGTTCGTATTGCTCTCTCTGCTACTCCGTTCTGCTGCGGTGTATAGGTGTTGCTGGCTTCATGGCGAATTCCTTCCTTTGCACAAAAAGCATCAAACTTCTCATTGAAGTATTCAGTACCATTATCTGTCCTCAAAGTCTTGATCCTTTTGCCAGACTGGTTCTCCACCAGTGCTCTGAAACTCAAGAACTTTTCAAACACTTCATCCTTAGATTTCAAGATGTAGGCAAAAGTCTTCCTCGAATAATCATCTACAAAGACAAGGAAATACTTTCCACCACTCAACGAGGCATGAGGCATCATGGCAACATCACTGTGTACAAGAGCAAGAGGTTCAGTGGCATGCCTGGGCTTACCCTTTGGGAACTTCTTCCTTGCCATCTTTCCAGCATGACAAACATGACAGGGCTTCTCCTCCAAAGATTTGGGCAGTCCGTTCAAGCCGGTGACCATCTTCTGCTTCTGGAGCATTTCCATCTGCTTCCAGCTCAGGTGGCCCAATCTACGGTGCCAGACTTCAGGCTTGGACAGGTGAATCTCTGCTGCTGATGGAGTCTGCTCCTTAACAGAATCAATTGTATTAGCAACTGGGTCAGAATCAGTCATGTTGGGACCAGTATCGCCATCAGCCATGACAACCCTGTACAAACCATCACGCTCAACGGCTGTCATAACCACATTGCCATACTTGTCCGTAACAATGGCTCCTTCATCATCAAATGTTACGATGTACCCTTTCTTGCACATCCTTGAGACAGAGAGCAAATTAGTGGCAAAGCTGGGTACACACATAACTTCACGCACTGACATTGGACCTTCATTGCAATTCAACTTCACAGCACCCACACCACCAGTAGCGACTTTTCTATCATCAGCAACATTAACAGCACCACTACTTGGCGCAAAGCTGCTGAATTTGCTTGAATCATTGCACATGTGCTTGGTACACCCAGAGTCAAGATTCCAGTCATTACGTTTGTGCTGTGCTGCAAAGGCGGTGACAATCATACTGTACTCACTTTCACCTGATGAGTCAGCTGTTTCTGGTGCTTGAACATTATGCGCACGATGTGGATTATTTCCACCATTATGCCTTCCTCCAGTTTTCTTCTTGGCACCTCCGCCTTGAGGAAAATCTTGACTTCTCCTTTGCTTCAACTTCGGACAATCTGCCTTAAAGTGCCCAGGCTCTTTACAGAAGAAACAAGAACCAGGAGGGGGTCGATAGTCCCTCTGATCCCTCTGATCCCTCTTCGACCTATTATAGGAAGCAGCATAGGCATTGCTCTGCTCCTTCTTCTTGTCTTGTTGAAGCAGCTTGGCACAAATCTTCTCACTGGTGAGCCCCCTTTCACCAAGGGTGCCCTCCAGAGCCATGGCCAAGGGATCGTATGACTCAGGCAGACCAGCTAGAATAACAACACCAAGAAAATCATCATCAAAACCTTTACCCATGCTTACTAGTTTTTGATGAGTGGTCATGATTTCATTGATATATTCTTCCATGCTATCACAATCTTGAAGCTCCATCCGAAACATGTGCTTGCACAATCTTAACCTAGTTAACAAGCTGCTGTCGGCAAAACTCTTCTTCAGTTTGGTCCACGCTGCCTTAGCTAGTTGCAAATTGCGTGGCAAGCCCATTATCAGAGGATGTACACTGGGTTTTGAGTTCAAAACAATCTTGGAGAACGCTTTGTTCACCCAGGACTGTCTACGATCTCGTCCATTGATTGCTTCATGCAAGCCCTCTGAAATCATTATCTCTTCCATTACGAAAGCCCAGCACGTGTAGTTGCTAGCCCCAATAAGCTTCTCTTTGTCGCTGAGACTGACTCCTCCGCCAAGCACAACAACATTCGGTTCACGCCGGGCAGGGGCCGGACCACGTGCATTCTCTTCCTCATCTTCCTGCTCATCAATATCTTCCTCCTCATTAGCATCTTCATCCTCATCCACGGTATCAGCATCAGATACCTCTTCGACGTCATTCTCATTCCCAAGATCGTCTCCATTCACAAAGTCGTCTCCAAACATATTCACAGCTTGACGGAAAAAAAGCGTCAACAAGTGGATCACAGACAGTAGTATCACAGCAGTGCTTCTGGAATGTCACAGAGGGGTCACAGTTAGGAATGTCCTGGAGCCCATAACCTGATAAAATTGAGTCTCTTGCTGAGATGAGGATTGATGTGGGAAGAATAAAACAAATACCTTGCTAGTTTGAAGTCTGGAGCAAGAATGACTTTATTTGGCCAAAGCAGCAATCAGGGGGTGACAACAGTGCAGCCAACATCAATAGTAAAAAAACATCGTACTTGTTGCCAACATAAGGCGAGATCACACCAAAAATTCAACAAAAGGTTTGTCGTTTTCTACCAGAAAATACTCTCGCTTCGCCCCATTGTGGCCCAACCCAGGCTAAGATTCCCATGGTGTCAATGGCCACGCAAAATGGATTACCATGGCCACGAGCACACTTGCCATGGCCAAGAGGCGTTTACCATGGCAACCTTGTTGACCATGGTAAGAATGTCCATGGCCTTCCTCTAGCCATGGGTGGCCATAGGTGGCCATGGATGGCCATGGTAGCAGTGGTCATGGCTTGTAATATTGTCCATGGCCTTAGTGGCCATGAAATTTCAACATCCTATAAAAACTGTATTTCTTGGAATTTAGACCTGAATTTTGGTTTGTAGCTTCTTCCTTGTATTTTAGTTGGGTGATTTTAATTTCATTGAAATCGGAGGTGTTTTACACTGTAACTTGTAAACGGTTTGAGCTAGGCAAAAACAGACACCGGATTCGGTTTCGCCTCGATTTTTGCCATCTGGAGACATGTTTTACTTTCCTAGATTGACTTATATATACTCTTTCACTTATGACTTACTTTAGCACTTTCACTATAAAATGGACATGGCCACTGCTTCTTAATATGGCCAATATCCCCATATACCGTGGCCATGATTGCCATGGCCACTATCGATTGCCATGGCCACTAGCACCAATGGCCAAAAATGGCCATGCGCATTTGTCCATGGCCCTTTGGTCCATGGCCAGTGGCCATACTTGGTATGTACGCATAATTTCGCGTCAACCCAGGTATCAATCTTTAGTTCAAGGCCTAGAGAACACGTTTCAAACGTAGATTCGATCTAATATCATGCCAGGTTAAAACGTGGGTAGAGGTCAAAAATAACAACTTCTTAGGTCGAGTTTTACGATCAGCTTCGATTTAATAATGGTCGAAACTGTTTTGGTGCTCACTATTACTTAGTTTTGTCACGGAATATTTCAAAGCGTTGCTTAAGGATCCGTACTTGGTCATCCTGGACAGTCCAGAGGACCGTATTTGCCAGTTTCACTGCATTTTATTTCGGTTTAGTCATAAATACCCCTACATGGTCTCGATCTTTCGCAATAGGCATTCCAGCTGGTCAAAAATAAGACGTGTACTCATCTTTTTCACTTATTCTACATAAAAACTACTGCCGAGTCTGTTGCTGGACGGTTTCTTCATTTGATCCGAATAAGGTGCACATGCTTATTTCGGATCAGGCAATAATTCAAAGACCCCGTGGATTGTGGACCAAAATCTTGATTGCATCTAGAGCCGACTACTGTCAGGCTACAACACTGTTATTCAACGAATGTGACGTCACATTCGTTTCAATGTGAATCTTGTCACGTTCGTTATAATATTGTGTCACATTCGTTTGAACGTGAATCTATGATCAAATACCCCCTTGATAAGCTAGTTCATCTTGAAACAAATGTGACACAATATTCCAACGAACGTGACACGATTTACATTGAAACGAATGTGACGTCACATTCGTTGAATAACAGTGAAGATGGCAAAATCACCATCATTATCCAAAGCTGATCCGAAATAGGTTCATATGTCCCTATTTCGGATCAAAATAACGATTTTGACGTGCACGTCTATACTCAAACTGCCATAACTCCGAAACGAGTGCAGTTACGGTCACCAAAAAAATTGCTTATTGTTAAGGAAGATCTAACCTTTTGGTGCCTTTGTACACGATTGTTCTGAGACCTTTGAGCTTTGGTATAGGGCGGGAATACAAAAATCTGATCCGAAATAGGTTCAGTCGCTCTAATGGTATAATCGGAATTTTCATGGTGTAAGTCTTCTTTTAACTATCAGCGTTTGAATGAATCGTTTAATAAATGCACACCCCTAACTCCTGCGGGTAAAAATGCACACCACGCGGGGAACAAATGCAAAGCCTGCGGAACCTCGAGTAGCGTGCGCCTTAAAGAAAAGAGACACTGAGAGTGGATTTGCGATAAATTTAATACAAAATCTTGCCGATTTCACGTGTTTTTTTTTTCGTTAATAAGGATCTTTCCCGATTTTTACGGATTTTTACCGATTTTGACGCAAATAAACCGATTTTTACCGATTTTCACGGATTTCTAGCGATTTATATCGATTTTGACAACAATTTACTGATTTTAACCGACTTTGACGGATTCTTACCGATTCTGACGGATTTTGACGAAATTTTAAGCATTTTGACCGATTCTTACTAATTTTAACAAAAATCGGAGAAAATTGGAGAATGTCGGAGAAAATCAGAGAAGCCCAAAACCTGCTGTCATCGCCTCGTGTACATATTTTACCGTGTGGAGGGTGTTAAGTGCATTTTACCCGCCGGCATTTATTGGCTACAGGACAAAAAATGCAGTGTTTTTCCCTTATCGTCGCTAAAGTATAGACTTTTTTGGCAGTATAACACTTCGAAATTGTTCTTTGGCTGTTTCTTCAGCTTTCTGAACATGCGCCAACTTCACATGCATCATAGTATAGCTCTAAACAAGATAGATTTGATTTTGTGCATTTATTACCTGTCGTGACCCTACTTCGGTGCGCAGGGTCTGTTGGACGCGAGCGAGGTGGTAGGACTTCAGGTGTACGCCAGAGAGTGGCTCTGCGAGACTCCAGCGTCTCGTCGCGTCTGCACGATCGTCATGCTGCGAGCCTCGCGTCCAGCCCGCATTACCTGCCGGGGATTTGGCGCCATGGGTTTACCTCTTTGCAAATCTGTGCTGAAGTCGTGGTTCTCCTACCTGAACACCCTTGTCAAATTCAGCACGAAAACTGCTAGTGAACTTGTGTAAGCGGCAGAAAATGTATTTGCGTACTTCAATCTTCTAAACAAAAGCTCATAAGCACATGATTGGCATAAAAAACGCTGGTACTGCACTGAAGAAATAGAATCTAAATGGGTATTTGGCCAAATACGCGTAATAATTGGTTTAAGGGTGTAAAGCGGAAGGTGTTACACACTTTTGCGAATTGAAACGTTTTCAGAGCGGAAAGGAGGCAATATGACCTAACTTTCATTGAACTCCCAATGCAAACCTTTAATACATAAGTACGTAAGCAGTAACATGCTTTTCAAAGTCATTTTGACCGGCTCGAAACCATACTAATTAAGTTTATTTTAAACTCTGTACGCCAGACCACGTCTCGCGTTGCAGGCTTCGCGATATCTCACGAAACACTGTTACGCTGCGCAGCGTGGAAGGGTCTGCATTATGACTGCAGTTTGAACTGTAGGTATCGAACTGCAGGTGCGATTTACTATCTGAAACTGCAAACTAGCTGTACTCATTCTGCATCCCAGAGCTCTAAATTGTTCTGTAATTTCATTTATATAGTGACAGCAGTCACACTGGTTTTACATTTACAATGTTGGCTGCAGTGCTCTATACAAGATGGAACTGTAGTTGCAGGTACAGTCTTCGAGCAGATATTTTAGTCTCACGAATCAATATCACTTTTGAGTGGAGAACTGTGCTTGAACATAATTCCAAAATATAAAAGTAATACACTTTGGGGTCTAATTTGTAATGCGATTCATCAAAGCAGTTATTTTTGGAGTTAGGTAACAATTCAACGGTTGTTGTTTTCAAAGTGGAGACAGCAAATGTGGTTTACAGATTCTGACTATTTATACGTGGCATTTAAAATATAAATCGACTTCATTGGTAAACGTAGGCCTATGCTCAGAGTGTATTTTTAATTTTTAACCACCGAATTCCCTCGTCATGTTTTGTCGATTCCCGGTTCGATGGAGTTTTACGTCTCCTAGCCTAGGCGCGTGCTCCCGAGGGACAACCGCTATTCTTTCCGCATTTCCGTCCAGCTGTCAATGTGTCTCTTGGCGGGATTCAGCAGCAGGTGGGCTGCTACCCGATTAAGAGTCACTGAATTAGAAGCAAAGGTCAGTTAATGATGACATCGAACAGAGACGGGAACGTGATTATACAGACAGGTTTACTGACGAAAAAATACCGACAAGCCTAAGGAACCCCTAACCGCAACAGTTGAATTATAAAGAAACTATAATGAAACTGTAGTTAGACTAGTAGGGCGGCGCGCCGGGACCCGTGGCACGACACCAGGTTGCCGCAGCCCCAAAGCTATCGCGTCGCAGTGGCTCAGTGGTCAGCGTACTGATCTCCCAACTCCGAGGTCCAAGGTTCAACTCCCGCCAGCATCCAAGGTAAAACTAGTATAACAACAAGGTAGATGTACGCCAGACCACGTCTCGCGTAACAGGCTTCGCGATATCTCACGAAACACTGTTACGCTGCGACGCGCCTGGCATACATCTACCTTGGCCTGCGGCGCTGACACCTGAGTCGGGTAGAGCAAAAATGTACTCTAAGATTCGGGCCTCCGGCCCGTCAACCCCGTCACTTAGACTAGCAATGCATGGTTGCACATTTTCTCGCTTCTTTTCGTCAAAAATACCGTCTAGCGTCTAAATAGTTGGAGCTAGAGCAAAACGGACAAAATTTTCGCCCATAGGGCTCTACTTTGATGAGTTACCCCCTAGGAAACCAGAAAAAAAAATATTTTTAAAAACAGTCATTT